TGAGTCCACGTTGTGATAAAACAAGTAAAACAAAGCAGGATTTAACAGAGTGTCACATTTTTCTTAAACACAAGCCATCATTTTGTGGAACAGTGTTATTTCATGATCTGTTTGTGTATTTCATATTGCCATCTTGTGTAGTGGGGTTATAGGAAGGCACGAACAAAACAATATGTACCAACATCTCTGTCTTCACCTACAACTATAGAAATAAAAAAAGTCAGTACCCTTTAATGCAGAGCCAGGATTGGGCATAAGCAAACCAAGTGCCTTTGGACACAAGAGGGGGCTCAAGAGCACTCAAAGTATCTGCCTCAAGTTATCTCCCACTGCCAATGTCGGAGGAACAAAGCTGCACCAATAAAAGTGACAGTAGGTGTGTTATATTTACAGAAGGTGTGCGAATGATCAAGAATTGATACTTTTTAATAGTATTGGCCATAGTGAGGGGGCTCCTCCAAAATAAAATTATTCTCATTGCTCCATGACAGCTTCAGGCTGGCAATGCACCTTTTCCAGTATTAACACCAATACACAATAAATCATCTATTTTGTGTTTGGTTTGTCGTAGACTGAGGATAATTGGAGGAAGAGATGTCAGAGTTACAATGGCTGAAAACTAAGATGTTGAAAAGTGGAAGATGGAGTCATGGATCGCATCAGCCAAGTGAGTCACCTTTTGATTTATTCTTTCACTAAGATAAACCAATTGTTTTTTGTAAACAGGATGATGTTACACATTTAACTTCCAGATAATGCTGTAACTGAAAAAAATGGATTCATAAGTCACAAAACAAAAAATAAATGAAATACTCCTGTGTCATTTGCACTTTTTTCCACATGATTTAAACAGATTTTGATGTCTGGCTTTGATTTTTAATTGTGGTTAAACTGGGTCCATCTGACTGGCATCTTCTATGTTTCTGGTGTGACTCACGTAGATCATCCAGGCTGCGTAGCGCTCCTTCAGGTTGAACAGCACCGCGGGCTCGTGGAGGTGCGTCATCATCACCATGTCCTCGATCTTATCAAACTTTGGGGGGTTCATTGGAAACACCTGGTCCTCCCTGACCGTCAAAGTCTGGAAAACAGAGAAGGTAAAACACAGAGTGAAGGTTTAGAGCTCTATGCACCTGAAGACAGCTAAAAAAGGTCAGACACATATTTACGAGTCTTCACAAACTTTAGGAATATAATGTAAACTGAGATTTTCTCATAAAATATTACTCCTGTGGAAAGCGAAGCAGCAGTTAGAGCTTCAAGGAAAACTTCATGTCTCTGTTCAAAGCCAAAGTACTAAATTCTGCAGCTTTTTATTGCAGCTTCTACAGACAAGCTTTGTAAATTATTTCTCCATCACACTGGGATCAAGTCCATGCTCAGACCAAAAAGCCATTTTCTCTGGCAGAGTTCATTGTCTAATAATAGAATCACTTCAGTCCACCCACTCTGTCGTCAATCGTCTTGACAGTGACTTTGCCGTCCACCCTGTCCTGGATCTGAGCCTTGACGTACAGCTCCTTCTCATCGCTGGCGAAACACGCTGTCTTGCCGTCAAACGGCCGAGACTGAGCCTCCGTTCTCTCCCTCTCAGACTTCCGGAGGAATTGGGCAGCCGGCCCGAAGATTGCCATTTCCCCATCTGCATTCATGTTTTCCCCCTGAGTCAAAGAAAGAAAAACACACCCTCGGCATCCTTTTCATGCTTCTGTGTGGAAAGTGTGAATACATCTAGGAGAGTGTGATACTCACTCACAAAGTTCAGGAGTAAAGTTTGAAAGACTGGTTTTCTTCTTTAGATGCAAACACAGAGAAGAATCCTGCTCAGTAGCTCTGATGCACTGAAGGGTTGTGCACTAACCTTCTTGGTTATCCAGCAGTAACAACAATAACCAGCTGCACTGTCCCTTTTTATGTGTCACCATTGTCCTTGGTGTGAACTCTGCTTCCTTTAAATGGGCATGCACCGGTAGAGTTACACAGACCTGTTGCTCATCACGGATGAGGACGGAGCCTGGATTAAGCACAAGATGCAGCTCAGTTATAAATAGTTCTTTCTCCAGACAGCAAAATGTCACATTTGAAGAATGCTGACATATCAGGAACAAAAATAATGAAGTGGTGTACAAGGAGAAAGATGAAGAAAACATGCATCATGTATATTTTATATAAACATAAATCTAGCTGTGAACACACATAAATACACACATGCAAGGTAAGTGTATATACAGTATGTAAAACAAGGACATTCAAAGAGCTGCATATAAAATAGAAAAGAAGAGTTGAATTTATATGTGTGTTGTTTGTTAAAGACAATGCAATAAGGAACGTTTAATGTATCTGTGAATTCAATAGTCGCTCAGACAACCTTGGAATACCTGATTAGATTTCAGTGGTCAAAGGTCAACGGTCACAGTGACCTCATATGAGTCTAATAAAAATCGAATGTTGACCTGATGTGGATTGAAAAGCACTGGTTGGTGGAGACAAACTACCACAGAGTGGTGATTCTATTTTAATAACGCCAGAGAAAAAAATTGACATTGTTTTATTACAACTCTGCACGTGGCTGGATTCTCATCCCAACAGATCTCTTTGCGGATATCCTCCAAATTTTTAAACATCAATCTTAACATGATGCTGCAGATTATTCATCTATAAAATATAATAATCTGTGACACATCGTCCACATTCATACAGACGTAAGGTGAATAATTAGCCAACATGTTGTCATGCTGTTACAGCTGCTATTTTGGTGGATAAAGCAGACTGAGGTGATTAGTGCCCGGACACGAACAGACACACAACCTTTAGAAGTGGATTTGAAGAGGATTGATATTATTCCTTTTAGAGGATTATTGCAGGCAGCTGGTGTGGAAACAAAGACCCTCAGAGCCCGAGCGGGATACAGTTGTTTTAACAATGAGACTGAGGCAGCGCTCCAAAGTCAACAGGCCAGTGTGTGAAGTCCATTGTTGCTCATGTGTGTCGGTCTTTGTCGTCGACCAATCGCGGCTCAGAGCGAATACTTGTCAGTTGTTTCTGGCTTGTCGTATGTTATCGAGTCCTGTAGCTGTAATGTCACAGCAAGGTGAGGGAAGGGTTCTGGGTTTTAGCGTCGCGTCTGAGCGGCTTTGTCGGCAGGTTTGAGTTTCACAGTCGCTATCAGCTGCTCGGTAAACATGTCCTCCGTCACCTCGTTTCTCTTTGCAAAGTGCAGTTAAATCAATGTTGAGAAGAGGACGGACCTTTTAAATTGTTTCAGGCCTCACATAAAAACTTTATCATAGGTTTTTAGTCAGTTTGAATGTTACAGGACATTTCAGACCTGAGGCAGTGAGTGATAAATACTATCTGCAGTGGTGAATTAAGTGGATTAATTAAGATCCCTACATTTATGATGACCACGAGGCAAACCGGCACTGAATTAAAAAAGACCAAGAGAACAGTCATGGTAATGTAACATTGGCATCTAGAATGTCACTCAGTAGAGTACATACCTCCAGGGATCAACAGTTCCCTAAATTCAATCAAACTGCAACAAATTGCACAAGTTTTCAGACTTGAACTCCACAAAATGTCAATAAAATGGGTCCAGACATTCTCCTGGGTTTCTCCAGCCAGAGCCCAACCGATGAGATTGATTCAAGATTTTGGAGTGGAATTCCAGCAAGCATGTGTTCTGCTGGTTGTTAAAGAATATTTATTTTTGTTTTAATGTGAATTTTTGTCTTTATGAGGTGTCTGCCAGGGGGAATTTAGACTGATGACCTCAGTTTTTCTAAAATCCTACTTGCATTTATTCCTGCCTCCAATAATTGAATCTTTATACACTGTCTATGGTACAAAGCAGATATAGTGTTTGCACATTTTCCAGAGGAATGACCTTCAACCCTCCTCAGTTACTGATGACGCTAATGACAATTCATAGAAAACGTATGGAGGTGATAATACTACTCATGACAGTGCTGTTATTTTGGAGGATGATATTAGAGTGGTTGAAAACAGATGCATGTGAGATAAACCTCTGAATCCTCACTGACACATGGTGGTCACACAGTTTTCTTTTAGATCTAAGAAAGAAGAGAGATCAGTCAGAGTCAGATAAATTCAATCCTGTGCGTGTCTGTTTCCTTCGTCTTAAAAAAGCCCATTTGTGTCAAGTAGATGAAGAAGTCATTAATATTACATCTCTTCGACTCTGCTTTCCAGTGGGACATCCAAGTGCTTTTGATCAACCATGAAAAAAGGACAATGTAACAAAAATAACCCAGTTTTACTCTTTCTTTTTTCAGACAAAGTGTCTTTGTAACTGCGGTGACAGAATGAGGAGGAGACATGTTAGAGAAACATGGAAATGGATGGGTTCATTATTTTATTAATCCAGAATCTGTGTATAAAAATATGATCATTCTACTATTTGCTATAAAAAACATTCTTGCAAACCCTGTGATAAAACTCATAACAGATGAAAATAAATTCATCTTCAAAATAATCTGTGATAGTGTGTTGTATATCTTTTTTTAATGGATGTAAAGGTTAAGTTAAAAAAAATCAAAGTCTGTGTTAAGGGAGCTCTTCTCCTCCACAGAAAAGTATCTCAAGCTCATTTCCTGGTTTCACATCCATGGTAACTCACTTCCATAGTGGTTGTGTTTTTGTTGTGTGGCTTTTGTATTTGTGTTTTCCGTGTGCTTGTGTGAGGCGTCTTGTCCACGGTAATTTTTGGTTAAGCTTTGTGAATCTTTCCGTTATTTGGAATTTTTATGTTATGGAGTTTTGATTTATCTTTGTCTGACCTCTGACCTCATTATTTTCTGTTTTACTTTGAAACGTCTTACCTTGTGTGTCTCTCTTACTCTACTTCCTGTCTTTGTCTGATTTTCCTGCTTGTGTGATTGTGCTGTAATGTGTCCCACCTGAATTCAATTATCCCGGCACCTTTTGTGTGTATAAGCTGTGTCTCAGCTCAGAGGCTGCATCTGAAGACCGACTGCGTTGTTGCAGTGCGACTGGACTGTCCCATTTCAAAGGTTCTTTATTTTTGACAGAATTGAGACACAAAGGCTCCGATGTGTGGAGCCTTCCTGGCCCAATTGATCCCAGGATTCATTGCGCTTCACTGACAAACCGATTTTCAAAGAGGTAATGGTAGATGCAAGCGACAAGACATATTATGCCTCCACTCGAATGGCTAATGGTAAACATGTTAAAAAATGAAGGCGCATCAAAAATGTCTCATTATGTCTGCAACAGCGATAAAGGAGCAACAAGTTGGTGACTGTGAAAACCTAGATAGACCAGACTGTCTCATTTTAGTTTGGCTTTTGTAGTCCACATGACCCCGGAAGACCGCCTCCTTCGTGGGCTGGGTAAACTGCATCCTCAGAAGATCTTGTCTCCTCTCTCTCCTTGATTATTTTGTGTGACACGTTTGAACTTTCCTCATGCTTCGGTTTCTTTTAACGTCCCTTGCGCTTCCTGAAGTTTTACTGGTTTATATGTTTTTGAGTTTCGGACTTAAAATGTGCTTGTCTGCCTGCTTGAATGATTAAATTCCAAACATGATACCTGCTATGTGGTGTCTGCATTTGGGTCCTAGCCTTGCTCTGGATGTGACAGTTATGTGACATCATAATGCTCCACATTTGCAGAATACACACCTAATGGCTAGTCTGTCACGCCCCCTAACAAAGCCACATAAAGTACAAGCATGTGTTAACAATTCCAAAATGTACTGGAAGTGGTTGACCAATCACAACAGAGTGATCGAGCTGGCCAATCAGAGGAGACTGAGCTTTAACAGCAGGGGGGCCTTAAAGAGACAGGAGCTGAAATCAAGTGTTTCAGTCAGAGGCTGAACAGAGGAGCTGCAGCAATGAACAGTATGAGGAAAGCGATGTGACTGAACATTAGAGTGTTTAAAAGACAAATAACTAAGTGAATGTGAGTTAAAATTAGCAAGTAAAATGAACAGATTTTCAGTGCCCTCAAGTGTCTTCATTCTCCTGGGAGAGACAGACAGACCTCATCTGTTTGGATGGAGTACGACCAGACTCCGTATGTCCAGAGTCAGTTCCACAGAAGTTTACAAGTTTGTGAGACAGAAATATCCTTGTTGTGTCCCAGCACATCACAGCTCTGTATCACAGTGTCCTCTTTTGTGTCTCCAGACACAGAGTCCAAACTCCTGCATGTTTCCTCTCAACAAAGACTCATAGAAAATGTCTTTCACTCATCAAACCAAAGTGGGGGAAATAGTGGGGGAAAAAACGGAGACTGGGCCTGAATGAAATTCAGTGTCTTTCCATTACTCTCTGTTCTGTTCACTGTGACTCTGCAGGCTGTGCATCAATTTGGACAGTAATGAGATCCAGTAATCGCCTCTGTCTCCTCATTCATGTTTCCAGTGGCTGGTCGACTGACACTGTTCCTCAGCACGACACTGCAGCAGCAGCAGCAGCATGGTAAGACCTTCATTTTAAAAAGCCTCCTGTGTTGTTTTAAGCAGTAAAGTACTCATATCAGGGAGTGCTCTTATTTATAGTGGAGAACCTTAAATCTCACCTCACTCCACTCTGGTCATTACTGGCAAACTTCACATTTTGTTGCCTGCTTCTTTGCATTCATTCCTGAGTAAACCCTTTGAGTGAACATGAACACAAGAAATATATTGTTTTTTCTGACAAAAACTCTTATTTGAAACTTGTAGAGATCATGAAACTTCAACCTCTAAAACAGTGATAATGTTAAATAACCTTACTTTTCTCCTCCATTACATATTGAATTGGTCTCTTCACATACTATTACTTACAAGTCTTTCCAACACTTGCCAAATATTAAACTCAGTCCAATCTCATCCCACCTAAACCCTGTTCAGACCTGGTGGTAACATCCATCTTGAGATCCAATCACATTTAAGGATATCTCTGTTCCTGACACACAGTGGTGTGATGTCACCAGGTACATTTACTTCTTTACTGTACTTTTGTACTTTGCTAAAATTGATTTGTTTTCTGTTACTTTTCACTTTTACTCCACTACATATATCAGCAAATATCTGTACTTTCTAACCCCCTTGTTACATGTTCACATAGTTTTAAAATCCAATCAGAACAAGCAGGTAACATTTGACCCCGCCTCCTGTCTCAACCATAATAATGTTCGGAAATAGGACACACTTGGCAACTACATTTACTTTTAATACTTTAAGTATATTAAAAAGCAAGTACTTACTTTTACTTAGGTAAAATATTTGAGTACTTCCTCCACCACTGCACACACACAGACATTGTCATCAGACACACTTATAAACTCAGGCCCGGTAGAAACAATATATTAGGACTTTGTGATGTGGATGTTTGCATATAGATCTGGGAAGTGAGATCCAATCATATGGTCACAGGCGACACATTCATGTCATAGTCTGATGTTGGGTGTAAACAGACTAACTCTCCGCTGGTGATTGGGTCTCTCAGGAGTGAACAGGACCCTGGATCCTGACCAGAGCTCTGCCTCTCCTAATGCGCGTCTGCATGTTCATTTAATAAAAGACTCATTGCTTTTTCCTTTGCCCTCTGCTTCTTTCATCCTTTTTCTTAACATCCTGAATGTACCTTCCTGTCTTAAGCTTTGTCTTTTTGTATTTATAATTGCTGTTGTTTCAAACTCTCTGCAGCCGCCTCAGGGAACTAAAACAAATCATGTGAAAAATGTTAACTTTTGCTGGAACCATCAAAATTACCCAGAGACAGTTTTTCCTTTTGATAATTTCACTTTGCTTATACAGTGCAATAAGCTTAGCAAGTCTAGAGTAGATTTAGGGTATGCCCTCTTTTTTAACTTGTATGTCCAATTATTATCTGGCTGCAGTTTCTTCAAAGTATCGCCTGCTGCCTGCACCATTTCTTTTCCTTTTCATAGTGTTAAGTGGGCCTGATGAGGTGTGAGAGATGAAATAAGAGACTGAAAAGAGAGACAAAAGCACAGGAATGTAAATATCATTTTATCATTTTTTTATTTTCCATACTGGGATACATTAATCTGGTTTCCAGGTAGAAAGGGATCTGAATATTTTTAATTTCTCTATCAGTCATGGTGAGCCAACAGACGCTCAGTAAAGCAGTGAGAGGCGTCTTCCCTTCTGCCGGAGTCTGACACAGCCGCTCTTGTTATTTTCTTCCTATTCAGAGAAAAGTGAGTGGATGCTGGGTTATATTAAGAGCAGCACCCCAGAGGATTGTGGGATTTGGCATGGATATCTCACAGATCTGTGTGTTTTTTTTTCTTTGGAGCTTTTGTAATGGCTCAGATACACTGGGCTGCGCTTCTTCTCCTTGGCAGCCAGAGGATGTGTGATAAAACTCTCATGATAAGAGTTTATCTTGAACCCTTCTGATCAGTCAGTGGCGATGCAGCAGTTCTTTGATTCTGCTCATTTGCATGATCATGAAGAGATGTGTGCACAGTTTTTGGTGCATTTAAATTTGAACATTTTCCTCAAATGAATCACATGAAAATACTTCACATTTTGTTGGAACATGAAAGTAGTTTATTATTCATAAGTGTGAGGGGATGTGGTCAGTGGATGACTTAGTGTCATGTCTACACGTCTTGTTGGCACTGACCATGATCACATCTATTTTTTACCTTAACTAAGTTATTTACTTTTTTATTATCCATTCACAAATGTTTTTTTTCCAGGCATTAAAATATTAAACCCATTAACATGTTTAAAAATCTCAATAGCTCAGAGCAGAAAGTCAAATATATTTGTTTTAGATTAGTATAAAGGCAACACATTTTAATACTGAACTAATAATTAATCATTACAATTAATAATAACAACAATTGTTTATTGGCTAACTAATAAATAATTCAGTAAAATCAACCACGCTAGTTCCAATAAGAAGAAAACCTGGGAAATCATTTTTTAGTTTTGGCCACATGGGGGAGCACAGAAAGCTGTAAAATCCAAAACGATGATGTAACATCTCCTTTGTTATAGAACAGGGTTAACACAAAATGATTTACGTATCCAACAGACATCAATATCAGCAGTGATTTAGAGTAGTGTGTGTGTGATTACCTTATTACTCCAAGTCGGACATTTCCTCTGTTTTATCTGTTTTCGGTCCCCGCCGCCCCCTGAGGGGACTGTCGGGTTTAAATTTGAACCTCATGTGATAGAACAAAGTGAAGCAAAACAAGCTTTGTGCTGCCACAAACCCCAGAGGATGTGGAGAGGAGTGTCTAGTTTTCACACTGGAGACAACACAGTATATTTCAGTTAAATTACACCTTAAGAAACAGGAAATGCTCTGCGAATGGTTTATCACCGCTGAAATATCATGTTGTGTCGTGAAATCCATCCAACAGCTTTGGATGGATTGCAACAATCTGAAATGTGGTTGAGACATTCACTGTATCCTACTTGACAAGAACCCAAACTGTTCACCTGTAGAGCCACTGTTGTGTTACTTTTAACAAAACGGTTCTGAAACTAAGGACGTTCTCCATCAGACACAGTTAAATTCTCTGTTTAATGCCACTGTATGCACGCCAACATGCTAAGTGAAGCTGGAGAACATTGGAATATGTTTTAACACATTTTTACCTTGGAAGGAATTTATTTAAGTATGGAGAAATGTCAGATGTCAATATTATTATTTGTTTATCTCTGTATGTGGAGGCTACATTTAGATGGGCTGAGCTGTTTCCACACAGTTTTGTTTCTTGTCCATTATTTTGTTTCATATTGACTCCTCCCACTTGTGCTCAATGCATCGAATGTATTGATACACTGGAGCCATGAGAGAATTAGTTTGTTTTCACTGCACCAGTTCTTGCAGCAATATCGAGACAATGACCTTAACTTAAGATTGCTGGTTTAAGCACATTGTTTATTTTGATTATGGTAATTTATCAATACATATTTTGGCATGTGCAATTAAATTATTTTAATAGTGAGAGATTCTGGCATTTAGCAAAATAAGATTATCTAAATTCAATATGTTAATCTACTAAACAACTGTATATTTAATTTGAATATCTATTAGCTGAATTGAATAAAATGGACTCTAATTAGTTTGTATGCTCACTTCTTGTGACACAAAATGCAACTTTTGTCTGAAATCTGAAACCTGTAAAATTAAAAAATGAAATGTTAATAGAGATAAATTCCAGACAGAAATATACCAGAGGGGTGACGTTTGGAGATCACAAAGTTTACCATGGTGAAAACATTTCAGATTTACTTGCACAGTAACAAAGGGCTATTTGAAAACAAGGATGTCAATCATTGTATATGGACAGTAAACGTCTCATCAGTGTGAATTCAGCAGCTAAGAATCCTGCAGCAAACCACAACTGGGGCTGCAGCATGTAAAGGACGAGCCGAGACATAGCAGATCCACTGAGTCTCTTTAATGCTACACATCAGTCAGCGTCATCCACCCACTCTGCCTTGCTGCCCATGAACATGATGCGACTTCTTTATCGTTCTGCTAATAATCTCCCCATTTATATATCTGTCCGATCGCGGCCGCCCTCCTCCCCTCAGGTCTCTGATTTGAGAGCGGAGTGCTGAAGTTCAGCAGCACATCTGTCAGATGCCGCGGACAGATCCGAACGGGCCACGCACCGCTGCATCTGAAAATGAACAGCCAGCCGACGAATCCCTGCAGATTAAAAACGACTTTTCCCTTGTAAAGCACACTGCAGTCATTTCTGGCCCAGTGTAACTGAGAGCGAGCCTGAATACAATGGCGTCATGGTGGCAGAGGCTCCTGGGGACTGCTGATAAGACGTAGGGAGGCCTTATCGTTATTTATCCATTTAGAGGATCATATTTCACCATTTGAATAGCACCATTATTGAGCAAGTGAGAGGTGCTGAATAGCAATATGAGAATTTGATGGAAATTAACATGAGTTATTGCACAGGCTGTCACGACTCCTGCATTTACATTTTCTGTATATGCAAGCTTGTAGGAATGTAGATCTACATAATTGTTATTAAAGCAGCAGCAGCCTCACATTATACACTACTTCACCCAATGTTCCTTTACTCTGAATAAATTACTCGATCTATATCACTGCCAACTCCATTTAGTGAATGGATGCACTGTCGAAAACATTAAACCAGAAGTTACTTCTTCTTCATTTACAGATACAACTGCATATTTAACCTGAATTAATTGACTAAGTGTAGTTCTATACAACACCTTAATGTAGCCTCCAAGAAATCAAAAGCACTGAGTCACGAAAGAAGAGAATTACATTCATTACAAATGGTATTAAATTTATTTATATTTAATGGGTAAAAAGATGTATCTTAAAGCAACCAAACACAAAAGCATCACAAAAGCTGATTTCTGTGGTGCTGTTGTTATTTTCTACCTCCCCTGCAGGTTTAAAGCTGCAGTTTGAATAATGTATGATTATATTTCACTATAAGAATCATGATTAGTTTATGTGCAGGTAAAGTGATGGTTTGTTTATGACAGAAGTCGGCGGTTGTGAGCTCCACTGCGCCCGGAGAGGAGACTGGGAGTCAGCCTCTTCCCCCAGGATGGAGGAGCTACACGTCACCTGAGGGACAGAGGTATTACGTCAACAGCTGCAGTAAAGGTGAGAGCAGCGCCTGAAGTCAAAGAGACTCTTGGGCATCAGCTGCATTCACAGAGGATGCAGTTTAGTTTAGAATAATTGTCTGGGGTGGCTAATTGTGGTTCTCTGAATCAGTTCAACCGTACATATGTGACCACTGATGAAACAAATCTAAATAGGGAGCAAGTTTTAAATCTACATGCAACAGTAAATGATCGTACTGTGAAACAGACAGAGACCACAGGTTCTTGTTCTTCAGCCCTTTTGATTATAAACATCACATGGTCTCCATTACATTTTACAGCCAAAAGACAAAAAGGAGAAACTGAACCAAAAATACTAAGCTACAAGATTCTTGGATCCTTTGGACAAAATAAAACCAGGAGACAAACTTTCATTCAAAATATAAAAATTGTGTGATGAGTGAGTCCATTAGAGAACAATTAGATAACCGTCCTAATAGTTAGGACGGTTATCTTAAAGGGTTAAAAACGGAGAGAAAAAGGAAAATATTGGTGTTGCAGATGTTACTGAGATCTGAGTCTCATTTAACCTTAGCAACAATAAGTGTATATGTTAAAATAATAATTAAAAGAAAGCATCTCCACAATTGTGTTTTCTGACCAAACTCAGGTAAATCCCAGCATCCTTTTCTGCAACTGCTGACACGCCAACACACATGGATAATACCTGCTTAACATCAATATGTTGGTATGTAATTCAAAGAACAGTGACTCAAAGCTGCCATAATTATTTATTATTAGATATCATCATTATTCATTATTATTATCATCAATTTATTTATTATCGTCATAACATTTCAATCTTTTTTATTAAACTGGTCCTTTTTTCTCAGAGATTCTCAAAGTTGAGAAAGGTTTATCTTCAATAGATGCTCACGAGTGATAATCAATAGCCAATAATCATCTATTCTCTCTGTCTGTAGTGAGATTTCAATAGGACACAACAGAGACAAACGACCACAGATCAGAGACCAGCTCAGTGCAGCAAAACCAATCAGCCACTCTTATATAACGCTGTATTGATGATTTTACAGATGAAGCTGCGTCTTGCTGAGGGTCAACCAATCACATTGCTTGTCCAGCAACGCTCGGCCTTAGAGTCATTCTGTATGAAGCTGAATCTCCAACATGCTGAGTCTCGCCTGTCCCTGCCGTTGCAGTTTGACACGTTTAGCTCCCACTGCCTCAACACTGTGAACCGTGAGGACTCATTATCATTCGTCCCCATCGTCGTGTACCAGCGCTCCATTCATCGGGAGACGAGCGAGCAGATTCGATCCACGTTAAGCTGATTATCTCAAACGTGCGGCACTTCAGGCCGAGCAGCATGGCCGGTATCTCAGCTGTGAGATCTGTGGACTCAGAGGTGGAGCGATGTTTCCGCTGTTTGTCTTCTGCTCTGATTCTCTGCTTCACAGCAAGAGGCTGCAGAGTTACATCAATACAGAGGCTCGGAGGCAGGCGACCTTTGGCAAACATCTGCCTCGGTGTGTGTGTGTGTGTGTGTGTGTGTGTGTGTGT